TAAATATTTATTTATACATATTACATAGGTGATTCATGTGATGATGGAAAAATACAAAATGTTTGTGGACAGATTCAAAAATAAAAACTTCTAAATGAGATAATTTATAAATGAGAGCTTGTGGTGGTGTGATGGTGCAGAAATTCGGCATTGTTCATAAGATTATGCATAAATGATTGTTATATTGATGGGATGATGCAAAAATTAGGAGGCATTGTTTATAAGTAGATGCTTAAACTAGATTATATTGATGGATGATGCAGAATTTAGGGTTTATACATGAGGTGATGCAGAAATGAGGATTTAATTTTTAAATGATGCAAAAATTGCATTGAGGCTAAAACATGATGTTCTTAATCTTGAAGTTTAAAATCAAGGGGTTAAGTTTTCCTTTCATCCAACTCATCTTTTATTTGAACAAAAAAAGAAAAAAGCCGTTGTATTTTCGATAATTTTTCAAAATTGTGTTTCTTTGTTGTCTGTCAATCCTTTTAGTTTTATCAAGATAAATATACAAAGAATAAGGTTGAAGACAGATCTCTTATCAGAAGAAAATTATTAAATTCCTCAGGAAGCGAGAACATTTTTTAGATGTTTTAACATATTTTTACTTGAAGTAAATATGGCAATTAAAATTAATATTGTACAGAAGAAAATTGCAACGTACTATAATCAATAGAAACATTATTCTAAAATACATAGATTTAATAAAAGTTTCAAGTGTAGGTGTCAATGTTTTCTATTTATCCGACTTGTTTCACAATTGGAATATTTGGCTTTTATCGTCATAGCTAGACCTAATCGATTAATATTGTTCTAACTCAACCTAATCTTGTTATAACTCCAACTAATCTTGTTCTAACTCCACCCAATCTTGTTATAACTCCACCTAATCTTGTTATAACTCCACCTAATCTTGTTTAACTCTAACTAATCTTGTTCTAACTTCACCTATTCTTGTTCTAACTCCACCTAATCTTGTTTTAACTCCAACTAATCTTGTTTTAACTCCACTTAATCTTGTTCTAACTCAAACTAATCTTGTTTGGCGGTTATGAAAGTCGTCCTTCTTGGAGTTCTCCGCGGCAGCTGAGAAGCTAAGGGGAGTTTCCTGAGCCACGTATTTCACCAGACTTTTTAACCATGTAATTTAGATATAAATATATAGTTAGTTAATCTTGAACCTTTCGGAGTTTATTTAGCTGATTGCCAAATTGGTGACCCCGGACATTTTTGAATATGTTTTCTTAAGTCCTAAAAGTGAAACAACCCACCGAGTTGTGCAGATTTTCATAAACATAAAAACTCAGTGTTTTGAGTTAAATTTTTTTTCACTAGCTTTATTTTCGGCTGAAAAGTAAGCCTGCCTCCCTGTTTTATTCACAAGCTCTTACAGGAAACGAAAAACTAGTTCGACAGTGTTATTTTTCAGAGTCGTGATGCCTGGAGATCCAGCTTTGTCCGTGGACGCTGTTGCTCTGAAGCTTCCTGTTTTCTGGCCTGACAGTTGCGAATCCTGGTTCATTAATGCAGAGTCACAGTTCCATCTCAAGAACATCACCGCCAGCAGCACCAAGTTCCATCATGTTGTGGCATCTTTACCCCAGAAGGAAATCGATAACGTCGTCGACATCATCAGGAACCCACCTGCAGCCGATCCTTACAGTGCTCTCAAGTCTCGTCTGTTACAGACACATTCTTTAACAGATTACGCTCGTTGTGAATCGATTATGTCTCTTCCCTTGTCTGGAGATATGTTGCCCTCAGCGTTATTGTCCAGGATACGGGCTCTTCTTCCTATAGAGCATCAAGAATGTTTGTTCCTACGGTACGCTTTCCTCAGACAACTTCCATCTGATGTCAGGTCACATTTAGTGCATGATAATACTGTGGACATTGCTGTTCTCTCACAACGTGCTGACCAGATCTACTGGGGCAGTCTGTCCCCCAGATCTTCGGTTAACGCTGTGGATTCGGTTCATGCTGTGAATGCACCTTCTTCACGACAGAACCGCCGACCTCAACGTTCACAACGACCTTCTGGCCCTGTTACCCGCCATTCCCAGACTCCTGCAGCTCCTTCCCGCCGTTCAACTTCACCATCTTCTTGTTGGTACGACGCCAAGTTCGGTACGAAGGCCCTCAGCTGTCAAAGCCCCTGTTCTTGGTCGGGAAACTAGAACACCGGCAGGAGGATGCCCTCTCCCTGCCTGCCGGTTCAACAAGTTCTGCTCTCATTTACCTACATGATGTACTCTCTAATCGCCGGTTTCTAGTCGACACTGGTGCCTCAATATCAGTTTTTCCAGCCCCGGCCTCTTCCACATCCTCTGGTGTTCAGTTACTCACTGCAAACGGTTCAACCTTAACCTGTTTAGGTTCCAGGATTATTCCTCTACGTTTTGGAACATGGAATTGTTCATGGACTTTTCAGTTGGCTCCAGTTTCTGTTCCTATCCTTGGAGCAGATTTTCTCCAGCATCATGACCTCAGTGTGAACGTGAGGAGCAAGAAAGTATTTTCAAACAGTGCATCTAGAAGTTTGTCCGTTGATTTTTCCTCTTCACCACCACCTTCTACATCATCTATGCAAGCAGCTTTTCTCTCCACTCCTTAGTGCGTGTCTGACCTTCTGAAGGAGTTTCCTGATGTCCTGCAGTCTGATGGTTTTACTGCTGCTCCTCCACGTCATCAAGTTCGTCATCATATCCTCACCAAGCCTGGACCGCCAGTTTTTGCCAAAGCCCGCCGTTTAGATCCTGCCAAACTCGCTGTAGCTAAAGCAGAATTTTCCGCCATGGAGAAAGCCGGTATTATCCGCCGTTCCACTTCTCCTTGGGCCTCTCCACTACATATGGTAAAGAAGAAGGATGGAGGATGGAGACCCTGCGGCGATTACCGCCGTCTTAACACTGCCACCGTTCCAGACCGTTATCCGCTCCCCAACATCGCCGATTTCACCTCACGAGTCAGTGGTTCATCTGTTTTTTCTAAACTGGATCTTCAGAAAGGATATTACCAGGTGCCAGTCGAGCCGGAGGACATCCAGAAGACCGCCATCATCACCCCCTTCGGGATGTTCGAGTTCTTGGTAATGCCGTTCGGCTTACGAACGCTGGGAACACATTTCAGCGTTTAATGGATCAGATCTTAGGAGACCTTCCTTACTGTTTTGTGTATGTTGATGATATCCTCATTTTCAGTAAAGATCTGACCTCTCACGTCCAGCATCTCTGGGACGTGTTTCTCCTCTGTCGTGAATATGGTCTCACTATTGGCCTGCCTAAGTGCCAGTTTGCTGTGGAGGAGATTGAGTTCCTTGGTCATCGCCTCACCGCCTCTGGTTGTTCTCCCTTGGTGAAGCACTCCGCCGCTATCTCCGCCTTTCCACAGCCAACAGACAAACCCAGCCTCCAGAGGTTTCTCGGAATGGTTAATTTTTACAGGAAGTTTCTCCGTTCTACAGCTCAAGTCCTTGCTGCTCTCACAGACGCTCTTAAAGGTCCTGGAAAAACCATTTCCTGGACTCCACTCATGGACTCCGCCTTCTCTAGAGCAAAGAGACTCCTCTCATCTGTTCCGGAGTTAGTGCATCCTCAGTGCAACGCGCCAATCTCTCTTGCTAAGGATGCCTCAGACTCACACATAGGAGCTGTCCTTCAACAGCAACTCCCGGATAAATCTTGGTCTCCTCTGGCTTTCTTCTCCAAGAAACTCTCTGACGCTGAGAAGAAGTACTCCGCATTCGACAGAGAACTCCTGGCTGCTCACTCTTCTGTTTGTCACTTCCGCTTCATGCTCGAAGGTACAGAGTTTACAATATTTACTGACCACAAGCCATTAACTCATGCTTTGTTCAGGTCAAGTCCTCCGTGGTCAGCTCGTCAGCAGAGACACCTATTGTACCTGGCAGAATTTACTAGCTCCATTGTTCATATTCCTGGCAAGGAGAATGTTGTAGCTGACGCTCTGTCCCGGCCAGTTTCGCCCAGCTCTGCTCCAAACCCTGAGTCAAATCCGTTCTCAGTTTCTCCAAGTCCAACTAAACCTTACTCCGCTCCAAACCCTGAGTCAAATCCATCCTCAGTTTCTCCGAGTCCAACTAAACCTTGCTCCAATTCAAACCCTGCTCCAAGTTCCTTCCAATCTCCGTCTAAGCCTGTTAAGCCTCACGCCTTTCCAACCCCTGGTTCCCTGCCTCCTGTGGTGTCAGAGGTGTCGGGAACGACGGAGGTTTCGAGTTCTTTTCCTACAGTGTTTCTAACTAGTGATAAAAAGGATTTTACATCTGCCTTGGTCCCAGCTCCGGGCGGAGATCCTTCAAGTGAACCAGTTTTTAATGGTTTGGATGTTTCAAGTTTATCCAGGTTTCAAATTGCCTGTTCGTCCGTACAAGAAATGAAATCAAACCCTTCTCTGTCAGTAATTGTTCATCCTCTGAGTTCAGGAGAAGTTCTATATGATATTTCAACCGGTTCTTTTCGCCCTCTGGTTCCTCTTCAACTACGTCGTAAACTGTTTGATCAGCTTTATGTTGTGTCTCATCCTGGTGTCAGAGCATCCAGGAAATTAATCTTGTCAAGATTTGTCTGGCCAGGAATGTCTCGGGATGTTGGTTTGTGGACAAAGTCCTGTATTCCTTGTCAAAAATCCAAAATTTCAACTCACATTCACTCTACTGTTCCATATATTCCAGTTCCAACCCGAAGGTTTTCTCACGTTCATGTTGATATTATGGGTCCTCTACCCTCCAGTCAAGGCCATTCTTATTATCTAACCATGATAGACAGGACTACAAGATGGCCTGAGGTTGTTCTGTTATCCTCTATATCCGCTGAGTCCTGTGTTTGTGCTTTCATCTCAACCTGGATATCAAGGTTCCTGCAGTTCTCACATCAGACAGAGGTTCCCAGTTCACATCTTCAATCTGGAATGGAGTCTGTTCTGTTTTAGGGATTTCACCGTCTACTACGACCTCCTTCCATCCTCAAAGTAACGGTATGGTCAAGAGATTCCAAAGAAGTTTAAAATCCTCTCTCCGGGCCAGGTTAGCAGGTTCGGACTGGTTTTCTCACCTTCCTTTGGTTCTCTTGGGTTTGAGAGCTACTCCGAAGGATGATACTGGCCTTTCAGTCTTCGAGGCTGTCTATGGTTCTCCTTTAACTTTGCCTGGTGAACTTCTGGATGTTCCGGAACTTCCTCCTGAGTCATTCCTGAGGAAGGTTGAAAGAGCCATTGATGGTTTCGCCGTTCCTCCGCCTCATCATGTTCATACAGTTCCTCCATCTCAGCTACCTGCAGCCCTCTTGAAAGCTAAGTTTGTGTTTGTTCGCGAGGATGCAGTCATACCTTCTCTGGCTCCTCGTTATCGCGGGCCTTACCTGGTTTTAGAAAGGCGAAGCAAATACTTCCGCCTCCAGATTGGTTCCAAACAAGATGTGGTTTCTGTTGATCGACTGAAACCTGTGTTCAGTGATGCTCCCGTCACTCCTGCTCTTCCTCCGCCTCGAGGAAGACCCAGCTGTCGTCCAGTAGCAAATTCTTTGGATCCTCCGCCATCCTCCGCTGCAAAAATACCCAAGAAAGTCAGGTTTCAACTTACTCCTCGAGTTCATCCTCCACCTGCACCTGCACGTCGGAATCCTTACAGGTCTTCAAGGGATAGAAGAATCAGCTCCGCCTCTAATCTTGTTTTAATTCCACCTAATATTGTTCTAACTCCAACTAATCTTGTTTTAACTCCACCTAATCTTGTTCTAACTCCAACTAATCTTGTTTTTAACTCAATATAAACTTGTCCTAACTCCACCTAATCTTGTTCTAACTCCACCTAAGCTTGTTTTAACTCCACCTAAGTTTTTTCTAACTCCAACTAATCCTATTTTAACTCCTTCTAAACTTGTCCTAACTCCAACTAGTTTTGTTTGAACTCCAACTAATCTTGTTTTAATTCCACCTAATCTTGTTTTAACTTCAACTAATTTCGTCCTAACTCCACCTAATCTTTTTCTAACTCCAACTAACCTTGTTTTAACTCCATCTAATCTTGTCCTAACACCAACTAATCTTGCTTTAACTCCACCTAATCTTGTTCTAACTCCAACTAATCTTGTTTTAACTCCGCCTAATCTTGTTCTAACTCCAACTAATTTTGTCCTAACTCCACCTAATCTTGTTCTAACTCCAACTAATCTTGTTAACACCAACTAATCTTGCTTTAACTCCACCTAATCTTGTTCTAACTCCAACTAATCTTGTTTTAACTCCGCCTAATCTTGTTCTAACTCCAACTAATTTTGTCCTAACTCCACCTAATCTTGTTCTAACTCCAACTAATCTTGTTCTAACTCCATCTAAACTTGTTCTAACTCCAACTAATCTTGTTTTAACTCCACCTAATCTTGTTCTACTCCAACTAATCTTGTCCTAACTCCAACTAATCTTGGTCTAACTCCAACTTATCTTGTTTAAACTCCACCTAATCTTGTTCTAACTCCAACTAATCTTGTTCTAACTCCAACTAATCTTGTTCTAACTCCAACTAATCTTGTTCTAACTACAACTAATCTTGTTTTAACTCCACCTAAGCTTGTTTTTACTCCACCTAATCTTGTTCTAACTCTAACTAATCTTGTTCTAACTCCAACTAATCTTGTTCCAACTCCAACTAATCTTGTTTTAAATCCATCTAATCTTGTTTTAACTCCATCTAAACTTGTTCTAACTCCAACTAATCTTGTTTTAACTCCACCTAATCTTGTTCTAATTCCAACTAATCTTGTTCTAACTCCAACTAATCATGTTCTAACTCCAACTAATCTTGTTCTAACTCCAACTAATATTGTTTTAATTCCAACTAATCTTGTTCTAACTCCAACTAATCTTGTTCTAACTGCAACTAATATTGTTTTAATTCCACCTAATATTGTTCTAACTCCAACTAATCTTGTTCTAACTCCAACTAATCTTGTTCTAACTCCAACTAATCTTGTTCTAACTCCAACTAATCTTGTTCTAACTCCAACTAATATTGTTTTAATTCCAACTAATCTTGTTCTAACTCCAACTAATCTTGTTCTAACTCCAACTAATATTGTTTTAATTCCACCTAATATTGTTCTAACTCCAACTAATCTTGTTCTAACTCCATCTAAACTTGTTCTAACTCCAACTAATCTTGTTTTAACTCCACCTAATCTTGTTCTAACTCCAACTAATTTTGTCCTAACTCCACCTAATCTTGTCCTAACTCCACCTAATCTTGTTTTAACTCCATCTAAACTTGTTTTAACTCCATCAAACGTCAAATCCAAAAAGGCTCGCATGTTTTTTCCCATTCTACAGTTTTATGGGTCCCACTGTACTGAGACAATTCAGACGATCAATTCTCACGTTTTTTGTTTTTCTTTTAAATAAAACCAAACTTGAGATGATAAATACGGACCATTTATTTCTCTTTATCTATTTTTTATGCAGCAGCCCCAGGACAAACTCTCAGATTTCTCAAATTTATTTGAATCGATAAATAGTTGTAAACGTCTTTTATTCCTTTTCAAGAATGCAAAAGGTTTTAAACAAAGAGAATAGAATATATATTAGAGTGAAATTTAATAGAAAAAAGTCTAAAACGGCCATTTTGTTGTTCTGTTTCCATACTGCAGGTGTACTTTACATATTTGTGCTAAATAAACTTTTGGGCACTTGAACATCATTTTATAGAAAATCTAAAATTAATATTAAAAGAAAACCAAATTATGAGATAGGCTGGTTTCATAATTGACCAATGATCATTTCACATAGACTGTAAGCCTTTTACTTTACAAACGATGATTTTCCGCTATAACTATAAATCAAATGATGTTTTTTATTCACCTAATTCATTATAAAGTTTATTTAACAGTTTAAAAAATTCGAAATTGAAATGAATAGTATAGGGAACATACTGTATTAATGTACTCTACTGCATATAATTTGTGAACATTTACGTGATTTGTACACTTTGAACTCCCTTTCAGGCTGAAAGGGACTGACAAAATTCATACCGAGGGATTGTCTAAATTCCACTCTAATATATTCTATTCTGTTTGGTTATAAAACCTGAAATAAATATATCTCAATGCCTCTATGTATCATTTGTGTAATACAAGCGCATTGTGTTAACCTCTAATCTAGACTGGACATCACAGAGTGTAAAGTTGACCCAGTACGTTTCAACACTTGCAGGCTGGCGAGATTACAGTGGTATGTAATATTAAAAAACACATAAGAAAGAACCAATCCGTGCATTTTTTATTTCTTGAGTTAAACCAATATACCCTAGACTTAATAAAACCTACCTAAGTATTTCAAGACTTTAATCTGGAGATAAATCCTTGAAAGTTTCTGTTTATTTTTGTATGCAGACGCAGTGCACAATATATATACTTCTATGGACCATACAATGGTTAGAATAGTTTTTATAACAAAGTAGAATTTTGAATATATGACTGCAGTAATTAAAGTCAAAAGAATTGCATTCGCATGTTTATAATAAAATTTCTCATTATAAATGCCACTTTTTTACAATTTTCTGAGCAAAAAAAACATACTGTTATGAAAATGTATGTTTAAATAATTAAATTTTTTGGCGTTCTCAATGTGGATTTTTAAAAGTGCGTCCTTTAAGATATTCACGATAGTGCTTTAATGAAAGTTCGTCCGAATATGTTAATACATTTTGCCATTTTTAGTGACGGGAAATTACTTGATTTGTTGTTTACTTTTGAGATTTTTCGACGTTTAAGAAAAAGGTTCCCATCACCTATTTTGCCAACAAAACATCCAGAGCGTTGTTTTACATAATTGTCCAAAGGAAACCGTGGCCCATGGGTTGGCAATAATGGTCAAAAGGCGAAAAAAAGATTTAAACTTTTTCAGAATACAGGTGTGAAATGTTGGACCCGTTCAAAAACAGATTAAAAAAACTAATCAAGCTTTTGCCCATGACGAGTCTTCTATCTGTAAATTTAAGGTGTTCATAAGTTTATCTTTGTTAGAATAAACTTTTTTCTTTCGTAAACTTTCTCAGTCTAGATTTTTGCTGAAAATAAAGAAAGAAAATGTTTGCTGTCAAGATCAAATATCGATTTTTCTCCTAAAATACTCAATCCATTTCGCTTGAAAATATATTTTAAAAAAATCCAATTTCTAAAAAGAGATTCAATAATGCATAGATTAAGTAACAATAACAGATAGAAAACTAGATGTCGTCTTTTCAAAATTTTGAGTTTTTTTCGTTCACAATAACCCTAAGGGAGACGCCCAAATGAGCCACGCGCATGCTGAGTAGAATTAAAAGACACAGAGAGAGCCTTTTCTACGCTGCATATATATGCGCGTAACTCTTTTGTGCTTCTGCCTCAGGGTTATTGTGAACGAAAAACCCCTACACCTTGAAAAGGCGACATCTAGTGTTCTTGTTTTTAAATAACTTTTTTAAATAATATTTTTTTATGAATTAACATTTGCAAAAAGAAGTTTTTTATTTGGTTGAAAAAATAAATTGACCAGTGTCCGAATTTAATAAATTTAAGTCGCGTCTCAAATACCCCAAAAACCGGATTCAATCGTGCGCCGGCTGAAATCTTGAAAAATTGAATACAATATTAAGTGGAACCAACCTTGCTTGAGCCGCGGCCTCAAATTTTTTTAATTCGGCCTCAGAATGACTGAATTTAAATTATTGACCAAGAATGAATGAATTTAAAGTATTGAAAAAGAATGAATGAATTTAAAGTATTGACCAAGAATGAATGAATTTAAAGTATTGACCAAGAATGAATGAATTTAAAGTATTGAAAAAGAATGAATGAATTTAAAGTATTGAAAAAGAATGAATGAATTTAAAGTATTGACCAAGAATGGAAGAATTTAAAGTATTGTCCAAGAATGAATGAATTTAAAGTATTGACCAAGAATGAATGAATTTAAAGTATTGTCCAAGAATGAATGAATTTAAAGTATTGTCCAAGAATGAATGAATTTAAAGTATTGACCAAGAATCAATGAATTTAAAGTATTGTCCAAGAATGAATGAATTTAAAGTATTGACAAAGAATGAATGAATTTAAAGTATTGACCAAGAATGAATGAATTTAAAGTATTGTCCAAGAATGAATGAATTTAAAGTATTGACCAAGAATGAATGAATTTAAATTATTGTCCAAGAAAGGATGAATTTAAAGTATTTACCGAGAATGGAAGAATTTAAAGTATTGACCAAGAATGAATGAATTTATATTATTGACCAAGAATGGATGAATTTAAATTATTGACAGGAAAAACTGAGTTTAAATGAATAAATACTATGAACCGATTGTGCAAAGTAATTGAATCTTTGTAACAAACTCTGATTTTCTAATACCTATATTTTTTTTCCACCTGATGGTGGAAACCTTTGATATTTCAAACTATTTTCATCTAACAGAATTCATAGTTTAAAATATCTAGGGTCTACGGCACTGAGTTGCAAAGATATAGAGATTAGAAAATCATAGCTTGTGACACAGATTCAATTCCTTTGAACCGACAGTTAGATGTTCAGCGACATGTAGCTCAAATCAATTAATTTCGTATTCTAGAATAACAGAATTTTACATATCTACATTTTCATTATATATATATATATATATATATAAATATAGCACTTTAAGTAGTAAGCTTGTTGACAATAGAGTAAATGGAAAAAATTAATAAGGACTTAAACGGATTATTCATTTGGTTGCTTATATATTCGGTCCTGCATACTGAAGGA